AAAGAAATGGAAAAAGTCTTGTATTGTTTGTGTATGGACAGTAACCTGGAGGCGAGTCAAAGATAACGCCTAGTTTTCTTTGCAGGAGGTTTAAAGGATTGTCTGCGCTGAGAACGCTGGGACTTGTAGCTGGGCGCAGAAGAAGAAGCCTGAGAGGATCTCTGATGAGGTAAGTTGGAGTATGGTCTAAATTGTTGTGATGACTGTTGGTATTGCGCATAGGACCTACGCCACTGGAACTTTTGGTAGTGAGGTTGTGGCTGTATTGAGTAGGATTTGGCCGTTTTCTTAGCTTTATGAAGTTCTTCAAGGTGAGAGTCAGTTTTCTCATTGAAGAGGCCAACAGCATCAAAGGAGAGACTCTCTACTTTATTTTTGACATCCTCCAGAACGTTAGCCGCCCGAAGCCAGGCAATGCCTACGCAAAGTTACAGCAGACATAAGAACTCTGGCGGAGGCCTCCGCCGCATGCCTAGTTGCTAGCCTTTGATACCTCGACACTGTCTGAGCCTCCTCATAAAAATTCAAGAAGGGTTGTCTAAATTTCTCGTGAATTAGTTTAAGGCCAGCCAAGATTTTCATCCAAAGCTGCTTTTGGTAAGCACTGAGAGCAGTTTGGTAGTTAATGACTTTCAACAAGAAGGCGACAAGAGAGTAAATCTTCCTTCCAATGACTTCTAATTTCTTGCCCTCCTTATTTGTCGGTGTAACATGCGATTTACCAGTAGGTTTAGTGCAACTAGTTTCTACAACCAAAGAGTTTGGAATTGGATGTTTGAGGAGAAATTTAGTATCGGGCCCATGTACCCTATAGAAGTTCTCGGTACACCGAGGTAATGGAGGTGTATTAGCCGGTTGTTCCCAGCATTCCTTAATTATGTCCATGATCACCAGGACAAAATTTAAGCTAGGTGGTGGAGACTTCTCCTTTATGTCCCCAAAAATGAGGTCTTCTGCAGGGAGTGTAGGTTGGTCGAGTTCTAACTTTAGGGCTCAAGCTAGTCTTCCCAACGTCTGAGAGTAGGATGAAAAGTCCTCTGATGGAGAAGAGCCGTTCGCATCTCCGATGTCAGACCCAACCACTTCTCCTTCAGGCAAAGGGGCAGGGACAGACTGCACTGGTAAATCCTGGTCCGAGTCAGAAGAAAGGACCGAGGAAGCTTCATCGGGGTCTGACGAAAAAACGTCTCCTTTGTTTTTTCGGGGAGTTTTTTCGACCCCGACGATGTGGGCCGACGTCATCGGCTGTACGGGAGGAGCAGTAATAGGGGGAGCTATAGGCGGGACGGGCTCCGGCAACTGCGGCTGCGGTGGTGCATGCATCTTGGCACCGACTTCCCGACGTCGATGTTGCCATCGATAATGCACCTCGGGAAAGCTGGAGGAAGATGAGATGTAGATATATTTAATCTTCCTATGCTTCTTCCGACGCGGCTCTGTCGATGTGGATGAAGACGTCGAGGAACTGGATCAGCGTCGATGATGTTTGCGGACCAAGTCGGAGTCGTTCGACGAGGAGGGACTCTGTCAACGCCGGCGCTTGTCTCGGCGCCGGTTGGATGGGCTGCGCTTCCTCTTCGAGGAACGCTTCTTTCTAGGTGATTTCGACCTCGAAGGTGCCGACAAGGTCGAAGGAGCCGGAGATCCCCGCCCATGAGAGGATGGGCTGTTAGGGGCAGACGTCAAACCCGCTGTAACACCAGCGAGTTGACTCGGCGTCGGAGAGGGTTCTCCGCGCGGCAAAGTCGGCTCTGCTTGTCGAGGAGGCAGAGAGGGTGCTGTCTCCGACAAGAAATCTCGATCCCGAGATGAGTCCTCTAAGATAGGCGATGGTAGAGACTGCGATATTGGAGGGAG